CTCAAGTGAATGACATACCCACCAATTATTGTTAAATTTTAGAAGTAATGATGAACAGTGTGCACAGGATTTATTATGGAAGGCTTCGTGCAAGAAAAGGTAATTAAGTAGGTCCTTAAAGGATGGGTGGCGTAGTGATTAAGAGCCCGGCTGCTAACCAAAAAATCGGCAGTTTAAATCGACCAACCTCTCCTTGGAAACTCTATGGGGCAGTTCTACTCTGTCGTATAGGGTTGCTATGAGTCGGAATTGACTCAACAGCAATGAGTTTAAAGGATGGGTGAGAACTGAGCAAGGGGAAAGAGCATTTTAGCTGAGTGGTGTATTTGTAAGGCCACAAGAAGATCATGTTGATTGAAATAGAAGATTGGTATTGGCTTTTGGACAGAGAGAGAGGTAGATAAATAGGTGGTGGTGTTTTTGAGTGCCATTGAGTCATTTTCGACTCATAGTGACCCCATGTGACAGAATAGAACTGCCCTCCCTAGGGTTCTCCAAGCTATAATCTTTTTTTAAAATTTTTTTTATTGTACTTTAGGTGAAGGTTTACAGAACAAATATTTTCTCACTAAACAGTCAGTACACATGTAGTTCCATGACATTGGTTAACAACCCCACGACATGTCAACACTCTCCCTTCTTGACCTTGGAAGACCTTTTTTTTTGGTAAAAATAAACATAGCCAAAGGTAGACCATTCCAGAAATTTCTACATGTGCAATTCAGGGGCATCGATTACATTCTTCCAGTTGTGCTGCTATTCTCACTATCCTTCCAAATTATTCCATCACCATTATCTTCGACTCACTGGCCCCTAGGTTTCCCATCAAAACTTTCGAGTTGCTGTTGTCGATTTGATCTCTCATAGGTAATTCTTTTTTTTTTTTTTTTTTTTTAGATGAAGGTTTACAGAACAAATAGTTTATCATTAAACAGTTAGTACACATATTGCCCTATGACAATGGTTAACAACCCCCATGATGTGTCAACCTTCTCCCTTCTCAACTATGGCCAGCTGTCCTGTCCCCTCCTGCCTTTCCAGTCCCTGTCCCTGGACTGCTGTGCCCCACCAGTCCTGTTTTGTTTTATGGGGCTGTCTAGTCCCTGTCTGAATGGTGAACCTTGGGAGTGACTTCACCTCTGAGCTAAAAGGGTGTCCGGGGGCCATACTCTCGGGGTTTCTCTAGTCTGCCAGGGCAATAAATCTGGTCTTTTTTTGTGAGATAGAATTCTGTTCTACATCCTTCTCCAGCTCTGTCCAGGACCCTCCATTGTGATCCTGGTCAGAGTAGTCAGTGGTAGCCAGGCACCATCTAGCTGTACTGGACTCAGTCTGGTGGAGGCCATGGTAGCTGTGGTCCATTAGCCCTTTGGACTAATCTTTTCCTTGTATCCTGTTCTCTTCATTTTCCCTTGCTCCTGAAGGGCTAAGAGCAGTGGAGTATTTTAGATGGCTGCTCACAGGCTTTTAAGACCCCAGACACTACTCACCAAGGTAGAATGTAGAGCATTGTCTTTATAAACTGTGTTACGCCAATTGAGCTAGATGTTCCCTGAGACCATGGTCCCCACAGCCCTCCGTCCAGCAGAAATATTATTTATAGTTGTCCTCTTAACTGACAATTTTGTAACATCTGCCTTTGAGAATCTGTTGATTTAGAAAATATGTAATGATAAAGAAACTTTGGAAGGATACCTAAGTAACTAAGAATAGTGGTTTTCTGAGACAGGAGGAGGGAACATTGGAATAGGCAAATGGGAACAAGGGTAGGAGTGAAGCTTTTCACTGTATATCTTTATATTCTTGTTTTTTTAAACATGTAAAAGTATTATTTATTTAAATGTTAAAGAGCAATTTTTATAATTCCGGAATTTACTAATACTTTATTTTTTATTTTTTCCCATACAAAAATTTATACGTACATTGTTATGTGACCCTAATTGTTCTCTTTTCCACCCGATTCTCCATGTCCATTCAACCAGCTCCTAACCCTCTCTGCCTTCCCATCTTACCTCCAGAGAGAAGCTGCCTGTTTATAGTCTCTTGTATCTACTTGAGCTAAGAGGCACACTCCTCACGAGTATTACTTTATGTCTCCAAGGTATAATCTTTACAGAAGAAAATCTATCATGTCTTTCTCCCACAGAGCCACAGGCAGGTTCAAACTGCCAACCTTTCTATTCGCAGCTGAGTGCTTAACCATTTGCTCCACCAGGGCTCCTTGGATAAACAGGTAAGAACATAATATTTTGAAGGTCTTAAATGCTGGTTTGAAAAGTTTTCCCTTATTCTAGTTGACGCTAGAGAATCACTGAAGTTTTTGAGTTAGGAATTTTTATGGCAAAGTAGTAGTCTAAGCAGGTTTGTTCTTTTTTTTTTCTTTTTTCAGTGCTATGCATACTGTCTAGAGCAAAGTTTAAATATTTGTGAAGGGATGTATGAATGTATGAACTAGGTGATGTAAGCTTGTATAGAGCTGTGAGCAGTAGGAAATATCCATGGAATAAACACTTTGGAGGAAAAATTGAGATGCCTTGCTTTCTAAGAGTATAAAGGAAGTATGTAAGATCAGTGGTGACACCAGAGTTTCAGTATGGGTGATTAGGAAATAACAGTGCCATCCCTAGAAACAGGGAAGTCATCTAGGGGAAGAGGGGTGTGAGAAAAGGAACAGTGATGAGTATGTTTTTAGACTTCCTGAGTTTGACATTGAAACTCCTCGTACCTGAATGTTTAATTTGAATATCAGCTGTGTAGATGTCGTTCGAGCAGAAAAAATGGACTAATATATATGTGTGCGTGTGTACATGTTGTGCGCATGTACTCAAGAGTACACATTCTTAGACATACACAGTATACCTAGAGCTCATATGTGTGTTAGATTGTTGATACGCTAGTCTGCTTGTTTATATTAGCAGAACGATGAGGACTGATTCTCAGGATGAGCAGAGGAAAAAAAGGGAGTTAAAGAAAGAGACTGAAAAGGAACAAAGAGGTACAACTTACAAGCATGGATTTGCTAATGGGACTCTGTAATTTTTCTTATGTTTCACAATAATAGTAGTAATAACAACCATACTATTCATGTATCACTTATTGAATGCTTACCATATGCCAGACATCTTGCTAGGCATGCTATCTTTTTTTATCCTCACAACAAATCTGTGATGTCGATACTATTATATCTTCCTTAGGAGAACTTGTGGATATAAATCTAATTTTTCTGACTACAAGCCAAACGTTCTATCAATTACACTGAAGTTATGTGTGTTTAATTTCTCCAAGTCAAGGACTAGGTCTTTACACAGTTAATCCTTAGTTCTGCCTCTAATTAGCAGGTAGTGATTCGACAGTGTCTTAGTCATCTAGTGCTGCTATAACAGAAATACCACAAGTGGATGGCTTTAACAAAGAGAAGTTTATTCTCTCACAGTCCAGTAGGCTACAAGTCCAAATTCAGGACATCAACTCCAGGAGGAGGCTTTCTCTCTCTGTCGGCTCTGGAGGAAGGTCCTTGTGATGCATCAGTCTTCCCTTGGTCTGGGAGCATCTCAACGCAGGAACCTCAGGTCCAAAGGACCCGCTCTACTCCCAGCTCTTCTTTCTTGGTGGTGTGAGGTTCCCATGTGTCTCTGCTCACTTCTCTCTTTTATATCTCAAAAGAAGTTTGCTTAATACACTATCTAATCTTGTAGACCTCAGCAGTATAACTGCCACTAATCCATCTTATTACATCATAGTGATAGAGTTTACAACACATAAGGAAGTCACATCAGATTACAAAATGGTACACAGTCATACAATACTGGGAATTGTGCCCCGGCCAAGTTGACAGATATTTTGGTGGGACACAGTTCAATCCATGATAGACAGCATGTAAAAAAAATCAAACAAAAAAAAAAGTATGTACTTTGAATATGACTTCTTCTTCTTCTTTCCTATTTGGTTATTTATATTTATAGTGTAGTAAGAGATAAATCGTTTTTAATTGCATGTTGTGAATATTAATTTAAAAGAGAATATCAGTTCTTTTACTTAAATAATCATTCAGAAAGTGCTTTTCAAATACAGTCATGCACTGCATGATGTCCATTCCGGCAGTATCCAACTGCATATATGTCCATGGTCCCATAAGGTTATAATAGAGTTCAGAAATCCTGATGGTAGAACAGTATGTAGCGGATGTAACTGGATATGGTGAACACAACAGCTTCCTGCGCACAACATGTGTATCTCATGTCTCTTGTATACAAAGTGATTATGCTGCCAGGCGTATAATGATACAGTACATATAAAACCTATAACGCATATGTCTTGATAGTCATAATAAACACCTATGTTACTGCCTTATGTATGTACTATACTGTACTTTCTATTGTTATTTTATTGTGAACTTTCCCTGCTTGGAAACCCTGATGGTATAGTTGTTAAGAGCTATGGCTGCTAACCAAAAGGTCAGCAGTTCGAATCCACCAAGTGCTCCTTGGAAACCTTATGAGGCAGTTCTACTCTGTCCTGTAGGGCCCCATGAGTCATAATCGACTCAACAGCAATGGTTTTTTTTTTGTTGTTGTTTTTTACCCTCCTTACAAATAAAAAGTTTATAACAGTGTATGCTTTGACTCGATAGGCAGCAGAGCAGTATCCAGTCTTGTGTATCGCACATCTCTTGAGTGTTGTAGCATTCTCTCTCTGTTTAATTTTCTTTTGAAAATATTACCATGGCTCCCAAATGCAGCAAGTGATAGCAGCAGCAAGAGGCAAAGGAGAAGTATCAGTTTGGAAGTGAAACAAAAGGTATCCCATATAGCTTTGCTAAGTATATAATATGGTCTTCTACAATGTCCAAATCACATAACATCCTATTTCACAGAGCGTATCATGGATGATAAGCGACGCATGGCTGTAAACTTGTTTCAGAATCTTTTCTGATGCATTACTTAGAACATTTGTACTTTAGCAAGGAAGTAACAAGGGCCTGTCATTTTCTTTTATTTCAGGGGATATCATTTTCAACGCCCAATACCCAGAGCTGCCCCCAGATTTTATCTTTGGAGAGGACGCCGAATTCCTGCCAGACCCCTCAGCTCTGCATGTGAGTACCACAAGCTCTTTCGGGTGATCTTTATTTAGTACAAAGAAAACAAAATTGACTTTTCACAGTTGCTTAACAGATAAGTTTGCCAAACATGTGGATATTTTTCAACCCTCTTTTCTCTGTCCTGTGAAATAAGTACAACTCTTTACCTGCCAAAATAATTAAATGGGAGATTTTTTTTCGTTGCAGTTTTATTTCCAGACTGTTTTCTTTAATGAAAGTCTCTACCATGTTGATTGAAAGGTATTTTTCTTCAACCACATTAAAAACGTTTTCTTTGTTTCAATTTAATATTTCATGCCTGCAATCAATTTTCTAATGTTTACTAGCACTTCATCACAGGGCTTGTTAGGAGAGTGTTTCTTGGCTCTTTAAGAGGCTTTTTTTGTATAGAAATGAAAGTGGCAAATTTGGACTTGTATCAGCATTATTTCAGTATCGTGTATTATCGTAAGGATAAAGACCAGATTAAATGTTCTTTATTAAGCAACATTAAAAACTTTATATTGAAATAAAATGTTTCTGGAATTAAAGTAGGAATACTCACCACTGGGGGAAGGAGTGGTGGTACTTGTCAGAACACATGTGGTTTATATAAAAAGTATGTGTTTTGCAAGGTTGATGGAGAAAAAAAATGTGCCGTTTGCTTAAATAGTTCTGACTAGACAAAAATGTCTCTTTCCCTTCTAAAATTCAAGTTTGCTATTATGCCTTTGCTATAAGAGGTTTTATTGTTGTCCAAAGCTATGTTTCTAGTTTGTTTTTCTGGAATTTTTTTGTCTCCTTAAAGTTTTGTAATTAAATTTTTGGTCACTAACCTTGAAATCTTGTCTTTGTTTTTTGTCTTTTTTTTAAGGGAAGTGTTTAACAGGAGGTATTATCCCAAACCTAAAGAATTATCTTAAATTTTAGAATACAGATATAAAAATATTGTTGGTGAGAGTAGGATGGTTTGTTGTAAAGTTTCTAATACTTACACATAAGCCGTTACTTTGGTTGATCTTTTTGCTTTCACTTGTAAGTTAAATGTGACCCCTTCAGATGCTCAGTGTTATATTATTCACCCCATATTAAAATGGAGGGGGTTACCTGGAAGAAAACAGGGCAGAGGTACCACCACAGTCCTCTCATTGGACGGTAGCATATGCTAAATGCCGAAGGTGTGGTACGGGCTAAAGTGCCCCAGGAATTTCCTGAAGGAGGTCAAAAAAGGCTTTGTAGTGTAGGCTAGACTTAAGCTCATTCTTGAAAAATGGGACAAAAATGGAGAGTATGGCAGAGTATTTGAAGTAGGGTAAATGTCATAAGCAAATTTGCAGAAGGTATGATTTGTTTAATATATTGTAGAAGAAGGTACTGACAGGTTTGCTGAAATGTAAGTTAATGTATAAGAAAGGGCTAGAAAAGAAGGTTAGAAAGATAAATTGGGACAAGATTTTGGAGTTCATTGAATGCTAGGCTGAGAATCATTGAAAGAAATGATAGACTAATCTAATAGCAATATCATTAATATAATGGATTAAGGAGAGATTGAGGATCAGAATATAACTCAGACACTATTGAAAAAATCTAGGTGGAAGAGAAGGGGCTTTGAGCTAGAGTGATATACTATGAGGGAAAGGATAAGAAAGACATATTTAAAATGCTTTTTTGTTGTTGTTGTTGTTTGTTTGTTTATTTGGAATTGCTGTCAGAATTTGCAGTACATAGCTTCAGTATTGGCAAGTATTAAGTGAGTGTAGAAGTTAAAAGCTGGAAAGGACCTTAAGGTTCATTTTATTCCACTCCTTTATTTTAGTGCTAAAGAAATTGACCTAGATTTATAGAATTCTGTATCAGAGCTGATAAGTCAACTTTTTTGATGTTTAGTCTCTTAGTGAATTTATCACAAATGTTTTTGAGAAATTAGCTGAAAAAGAACAGTCAAAAAGAAAGAAAGCATTAGATCTGTGAGAAAGATTGCAAATCTAGGGTAATACTCCCTCTCCTGTGATACTTTATCTAAGACCTCAGGTAGGCTACCTGGGGCTTCTTCTTAGGCTAGACAAGCCTAGCGAAGCAATCAGGGTGAAGGCTGCACTAGGCTGGGTGATGTCCAGACAGCCTTGGAGGTTGCCTTTGATGTTCATTGTCATCTGATATCCCATCTGGCTGAAAACATTAGGACAGGATAAACTACAGACCTTGCCCTATAGCAGACATTTCCCGAGCCTGGCTTGCCTCTGAAGGACTTTTCACTCAACTGTTGGCAGGTTACGGTTTAATTTTTGTATTCAGTTCAGGCTTTTTTTCCTCTTCCTGAAGTGCTCAGAGTGCCGTCTTTAATAACCTGACTAGTCTACATGTGGTCCTGAATGAAGGGAATTACATATCTCATCAACCATGGAGTGGACAGCAGAAAGCCTAGACTTCTTGGACATTTCCACTGAAGTACTCCTAATTGCAGAGTAGAATAAATATATATACCATGCACCCTTGAAATCTGAGAGTGTAGTCCAAAGCAATTCCTGTGGCAAAAAAAGCATTTCTTTGAAGTTTCTGAGTTTTATCTTAAAAATCATGAAAGTTTGTATTTGATTTTACAATTACCTATATTTTTAATATAAGAATATATTAAATTATAAATATTTGAGAAAAAATGGACTCTTCAATATATCCTAGTTTGAGAAATATGGCTTTAGAAGATATATGTGATTTTTAATTTATTCAGTGTATTTAAACCTGCTTTTTTTTTTTTTTAATTGAAGTAGCTTAAATAAAGAATACATATAAGGTTAATAGAAATATGTGAGATGCTCTAATTCGCCACATGATGCCACCTCTTTCTTTTTTAAAAAAATTATTTTCCCATACAAAAATTTATACATACATTATGTGACTCTAATTGCTGTCCCCACACTGTGACAGCACACTCCTCCCCTCCACCCCCAATTCCCTGTGTCCATTCAACCAGCTCCCAACCCTTTCTGCCTTCCCATCTCACCTCCAGACAGAAGCTGCCCATTTAGTCTCTTGTATCTACTTGAGCTAAGAGGCACACTCCTCATGAGTGTCACTTTATGTCCCACAGTCCAGTCCAATCCCTGTCTGAAGAGTTGGCCTTGGAAATTGTTTTAGTTCTGGGCTGATAGAGAATCCAGGGGCCGTCCTTTCCGGGCTTCTTCCAGTCTCAGTCAGACCATTAAGTCTGGTATGCTTACTAGAATTTGAGTTCTGTACCCCACCTTTCTTCCGCTCTATCCGGGACTCTCTGTTGTGATCCCTGTCAGGGCAGTCATTGGTGGTAGCTGGGCACCATCTAGTTCTTCTGGTCTCAGGCTGATGAAGTCTCTGGTTTATGTGGCCCTTTCTGTCTCTTGGGCTAATACTTTCCTTGTGTCTTTGGTGTTCTTCATGCTCCTTTACTCCAGCTGGTTGGGACGAATTGATGGTGATGCCACCTCTTTCTAAACTCAGACTCTTCTCATCCAGGGAGGTGAGTTCCATTATGAAACTTGAGATTCTCAGATGAATGGGAAATACTAGACAGACACCAGATCTAGAGATAGGTATGCCGTAGATATCAGAGAGCCATAAAATCATTTGAGTTAGGACCTTAGCAGCCCAGTGGTTCCCAATTCTGTCTGTGTCTTGGAATCATTTGGGAAGCCTGTTAAAATACAGATTTCTGGACTCCACTGGACTTACTGAATTAGAATGTTCAGGGAGCCCAAGAATCTTAAATTCCCTGGGGGATTCCCTAGTGGTCCAGTTGTTCAGTATTCGGCTGCTATCCGAAAGGTTGGCAGTCCAAATCCACCAGCTGCTCCTTGGAAACCCTATAGGGCAGTTCTGCTCTGTCCTGTAGGGTCACTCTGCGTCGGAATTGACTCAACAGCAGTGGGTTTGGTTTTCATTTGGCTGAGCTGCCATTGGGAACCACTGATTGAGTCCATCTTTTATAGTAACAGTCCCAACAGAAGGCCATTTTGCCTTTGCTTAGCATTATGTCCAGTGAGGTATCATTTTCAGTTTGGGGGACAGCTCTAATTTTTTGTAATGAGATCTTTATTGAGATATAATACACATAACACACAATGCACCTATTTAGTGGTTTTTAGTATGATCACAGAGTTGTGCAGCCATCACCACAATCAGTTTTTCAAAGTTTTCATCACACCAAAAAGAGATCCCAAACCCATTAACAATCACTCCTTTACCACATCCCCACCCCCGGCAATCGCTAATCGACATTCTGTCTTTGTGCCTAGTCTATTTGCCTAGTCTGGATGTTACATACAAATGGAATCATATAATATGTGGTCTTTTGTGACTGGCTGGCTTCTTTCCCTTAACATAATGTTTTCAGTGTTGCATGTATCAATACTTCATTTTCTTTTATTGCTGAATAATATTCTATTATATTCATATACCACATTTTATTTATCCATTCATCAGTTGATAGACATTTGGGTTATTTCCACTTTTTGGCTATTATAAATAATGCTACTGTCAACATTCATTTACAAGTTTTTATATGCACATATTTTCATTTCTCTTAGTATATAATTAGGAGTGGAATCGTAGTGTCAAATGGTAACTCTGTATTTAACTTTTTGAGGAATCTCTAGACTGTTTTCTCTAGCAGCTGTACTATTTTACATTCCCACCAGCAGTATATGAGGGTTTTAATTTCTCCACATCCTTGCCAACAATTGTTATTGTCTTTTTTTTTTTGTTATACTCAACCTAGTGGGTGTGAGGTGTCCCTGGGTCATGCAAATGGTTAACATTTCACCTGCGACTGAAAGGTTGGAGGTTTGAGTCCACCCAGAGATGCATCAGAAGAAAGGCCTGGTGATCTACTTCTGAAAAATCAGCCATTGAAAACTCTATGGAGCACAGTTCTACTCTGACACACATGGGGTTGCCATGAATTGGAACTGACTTGATGGAAATTTTTCTTTTTTAAATGAATGTGAAATGTTATATCATTGTGGGTTTTGATTTGCATTTCC